TAGATTCCCTTTGCCGTGTGCAGTAAGCGTTAACGGACAGATCTTGCGCTGCACGCTGCCTGTCAGCATTTTCTCTCCCTCTCTGTCTGAACAACGCGGGGAGACCCTACTCCATCTGCATGCTGATGAGCTGCCATTTGCTCGTGAGCCTGTTACCCGCAGGACGGTGGTCCCCAGAATTTCCGTTTCCTTTACATCCTTGCTTTATCCGGTTTGCATGGCTGTTGGGCACCTCGCTAACCCATGGTTTCCTTGCCTTGTGAAACCTGGTGCCTCCAGTGTAATGGGCTTCCTTGAGAGGGGACCTTCATGAAGGGATGGTCCCAGCTAAGGGACCATCTTTTGGTGCAGCTGTTGCACAGACCGTGCAGACAGACCGTGGATCTACTCGTAGCGCAGCGGGAACAGAGCGCTCTCCTTTGCGCTGTCAGGCTGTCCCCTTGCAGCTCTCTGCTGGCAGCGTTGATCTCCTCGAACGTTACTCTCTTCTCCCTCACTTTAGGGCTTTCTGTGGTGTTATCCTTGCCTGACTTGTCTGCGCAAGCACAGGCAGGATCAGTTTGGCTTAAGGTCACCTCCCCAAGCAAACAGCCCTTCTCTGTCTTGCACCCTGGAGAGCAGCAGCTTTCGTGAGAGCTCTTACACAGAATTTTATCTGCTGCCATCAGTGGGATTTCAGTGCCACAGCAAGCCTAATGGTATGAACAAATGGGTGAAAAATGTTTATTTTTAAAACTGAAACCATGATAAATATGTGGAATTTGTCCAGGGTCTGTCTGCTGTACCTTTTTGAAAGGCAAAGTGACTGTTTGTTAAAATACCTCTCCAAAGGTCAGCATAACCTAAGAAATACATGTACTGGCCTTTTTGAGAGGAAGGTAAAGTTTCAGCTGTGCGATAACCACATCTCTACTTGCTGTTGAGAGCATGGGTCTCCATTAGCGCAGCTTTGCTTTAGTGCAGCACGTGGGACGCTACAAAGGATATGCACGGCTATACTGAACTCCAATCAGTATTTCTTGTTGCAAGTTTCAGTGAGGAGCCCTTTACCTACAACGTTCATGTTTCATCGGTTGAGCTTTCTCTTCCATTTTCCTGGCTTATTTCCCGTTTGCTGAAGCCCCCCCTTCTTGCGACTGAGAGACTGATGCTGTGAGCACCGCTAGTACAGTCGGTGAGAGCACGAGCAAGGAACACAGCAACTCCAGAAGGAAAAGAAGCAAAATATTGGATGGGACCTCAGGACATCATCCGAACCCAAGGGGTTCGTGTCCTTTCGCTAATCCGGCCAGCCTCCTTAAGTGCTTACAGCGCTCAGACACTGAAGCGTTTGAGAACGTCGCAATTTTTAATCCCTTTCCTGCGAGGTGCGGGAATACTATCACTCTCTTTTAGACAGGGAAGCGAGGCATAAAGAGAAGAAATTGCTTGTTCAAAGAGTCGTAGGAATCTTATCGCTGAAAAAAAGAGTCGGCGTAGCTCTTGCTGCCTGTCGCAGCGTCAGGCACCCTGGGGCAGGCACCCTGGGGTAGGATGGCTTTTGCGCCATGAGTTTGGCTGTCATTAACCCACTAACAGGCTGCCGCTTTTGGCGGGGAGCACAGGCACGGGAGGCGAAGGTTTCGCAGGGTTTAGAGGCGTAGCAGCGGGACTAGGATGTGGTCAAAACAATAAAAGTGGAGCCGCAAATTAGGACAATTCAAATTCCCAAGCATTTTATTGAGCTCGTCTCATCTCCTTCCGGAACATAAAGGTGTAAAACACATGCCCAAGTTCAGCGTCAAGTGTCTTCTTTGGGCAAACAGTGCCTCTCCCGGCTCGGGCTGCGTGCGGCTTTATTTGCGGTGGCAACCGACAGGTGTTCATGCGAGGAGGGACCGGCGTTATAAATACATTATCCGTTCATTTCCTTCTGGAGATTTTCCTATTGTTTAGTCACAATATGCTTTCCTGTTTTTAAAAAACAAAATTAAAACTAAAAAAAAAAAAAAAAGAAAGGCTGGCCTGAAGTTCCTCTCTGGCAGCGGTGGACTGAGAGCGGTGTTTGAAGTGGGCGCCGATGTAATTGCTTTTCCGTCCTCTGCGCTGCTGTCGCTGACGCTCCCCTGTCCGTCTCTTCTGCTGATGCTAAAAGCGATGTGAGCGGCACCTGCCTATGAACCGTGCAGCAGGGTGGATATCAGAAGCGCCGTGCTCGTTCTTTAGGCGCAGCTTTTCTCCACCAGCTTGACGTGGGAGGAAGGCTGATGCTGCTCGCTGGGTGGAAAGCAGGGGATCTGTGTGACACGGGAGAGGAAAGGGGAACAAAAACACTCTTCCCTCCTTCCTCCTCCTTGCCAACAAAGAGAAATTGAGGTCAGGCCACTGTATTTTGCAGGGGAGTTATTTTTAAGCATTCTAGAAAAATGCAATTCAATTGATTATTAAGCTAGAGCTGCTCTACACCAGGCAGCTCTTGCCAGCCGAGGTCTGATGCAGCGTTAAGTCCCCGCAGGAACCCTCGGGTTTGTCCTGGAGCATCGTTTGGTGACTAAGCTTAGACTGTGTCCAAAGCTGAGCCGCACAAAGGGCCCGGGAAGAAAAGCTGGGAGCCAGTGTGGGAAACCATGGCCAGAACAGTATTCACATCTCTCTGCTGAGACATGCTAGCCCAGCGTTACATGCTAGCTCGGTTCGTACCACCATGCCTCGCTTTACTAAGGAAACCCAAAATTGTTATTTCCTCTGCAGCAGCGTCGTTTGTTGGGAACATTTGCAGGCAGACACAGGCAGCAGCACGCACATGAAGTTGGGTCAGTGCTGAAAGCAGCCATCTTCTGTATTTTAGCTCTTCAGGAGGCAAGAAACAAAATTTCTCCGTGGAATACCCTAGAGGAATGGCTCCCGCAGCCCCTGATTCCACAAGGAAAATGCCCTGGGGAGCATTGCCTGAGCAAGCATGGCCCGGGCTGGCCTCCTGCAGACCAAGGAGACCTTTTCCTGGACCTCGGTGAGCCCCCGGGAAGGTGTCCGGCCCGTGGCACTGCTGCGGTGGAGATGCTAACACCCGCCAGGCACCGTGGGTGACCGGCAGCCGGGCACGGGGGTGTAAACAGCCGGGGAAGCGTTTCCTTCTCCCGGTCTTCCCAAGGACTCTGCCTTGTTGGCCCTGGCAGCAAAATGGCAAAACCCCGGTTGATGTGAGGGCAAGGGTATATTTATTTACATTAGTGTACAGACAGGATTAGCCATTACCTTGTACTAAGCAGTGAGTGTCACGTGCAGCACAAATGAAGGGAGTACAAAAGACCTTTTATTAAGCTACTGCTTTTGCCTGGGGTAATTTAGGACTCCCCTTTTTTCTTTGTGAAAACAGGAACTTTGTGCCTTGATAGCTCTTTGACTCCTGTTGCAGATGCCTCATTTCGAGGGGTAATCCTTTTTTCAGATGCTGCCCGCAACCCCTCTTCCCTTGTGTTTGCAAGCCCAGCTGTTGCTTAGGGGCTTTAGTAATTCAGCGCGTGCAAGTCCCAGCCTCTCACTGCCCTACCTGGTATGTTTTTGCTTGCAAGGAGGTGTCACAATTGTGGATTTCTTGCCAGCCCTCCCAATTGAGTTCCCAGCATCTTCTGTTGTTTCTTTCCAAGAGAGGAAAGCGCCAGAAAATCCTTCCCTTGACACGAAGCAAGCCAGAGGTTACACACAGGGAGGAAGCAGCTTGAAGGAAGGGACAGAGAGACGATTTTTAAAGCTTCAGACTTGGCAAAATATTTACAAATAAATGTGTGCATGTGGTGCAGTTTCATATTTAGTAGGATAACTTTGAGCGCTCAGGCCTTCTTCCATTTTTGCTTTAGGAATCTACAAAGCCAAGTGCAAAAAAGAAGAGAGGTGGGGTGGATGGGAAAGGGGAGACTGAAGAAACGGAAGTGCCTGTAACAGTGGTGGTGGTGGTAGTTGTGGTCGTGGTCATGGGAGTCTCAGTCTTGGAGTTAGACCCCATGTGTCAGGAGCTGTACAGAAGAGACGGTCTGCCTCAGTGAACTAGTAGCTAAGGCTCAAGATTGAAAGCCTAAGTTCTTTTTTCGTTTCTGCTTCGCGCTTGTATGAACTTCACTGTAGGCCTCAAGTCTACTTTTCTTGAAATTGATCTCGAAATTGCTATTGACTTTAAATGCTGCAGGATCTCATCCATAAATTCTCCTTCTCCCATCTGTAAAATGAGGATGGCAGGATTTCTGTGCCATCTGTGGTGCTGTGAAGCTAAAAGCAATAAGCGTTTATAAAGTGCTTTGAGCGCGAATGGCAGGTTCTGTGTAAAGGAGAGGCTTTACGGGGTGAAACGTTCCTTAATGTGCCAGTTGGATCTGATACCTGAACCAGGGGCTGGGCTGAAAGTTTTGGAAGAACACTCTGGTGATGTGGAGGGAGTACTCCAGCTTCTAAATGCCGTGGTTTACTTGTAAGGGTCAAAAGCTCCTTTTCACTGCTACCAAATTAAGGGACAGAGGAGTCAGGGGCTTCGTGTCCCACAAAAAAATCGGTATCTTATCAGTATCACCTTTCAGCTTAAGCATCTCTGATTTTAATAAACATGATTCTCAGCGATGGTGTGAATCTGGCCACAGTCAGCCAAGCTGCTGTTTTAACAACACATGCATTTTAAATAGGAAACTTAGAGTCACAGTCAAAAGTATTAGGCCTTTCCGAATGGAATAGGATGCATCTAATCAGAATAAAAAGATGTCAGGCTTTGCAGGGTGTAAAAGGGCAGGCAGGTTGCCAAACCTTTGCCCCAAAGTGCCAGACTGGCATTATATTTGCATAAAGCCGAGGGCCAGTTTGCATAACAAAGAGCAGACTGTGGCTGGCCACAGCATTTCAAGTGTAAATAGAGCAGTTTCCAACAAGCAATGCAAAGCAACACTGAAATGCCAGCAGAAAGCCAGTTGCAGGGTTTCACTGGCTGAGCAAACCAGGTTAAGCATTTCTAACGGTGCTGATGTTTTCTCCTTTTGCAGACACAAGTCACCAGACCCGTTCTGTGTCCAGCCGACCCTATTACAGTTTGCCCAACAGCAGCCATGAGAGACGCTCTGTCCTTGCTATCACAGAGCCGCCACGTTTCCACTCCCAAGCCAAAGGCAAGAATGTCCGTCTGGATGCTCACTCTCGCAAGGCCACTCGCAGGAACAGTTTCTGTAACGGGGTCACCTTCACCAACCGGCCCATCCACCTCTACGAGAAAGTGAGGCTCAAGCTGGTGGCTGTGCACCATGGATGGAGTGGTGCCCTACGCTTTGGCTTCACTATCCATGACCCATCGCAGATGAGCTCTGACGACATACCAAAGTACGCCTGTCCGGACCTGGTGACCCGACCTGGATACTGGGCCAAAGCTTTGCCAGAGAGGTTTGCTGTCAGAGACAATATCTTGGCCTTCTGGGTTGACCGTCATGGGAGAGTCTTCTACAGTATTAATGACGAGGAGCCAATATTGTTTCACTGTGGTATTAAAGTTTCCAGTCCTCTCTGGGCGCTCATAGATGTCTACGGAATTACCCATGAAGTGCAAATACTAGGTAGGTGTATATTTTGGCCAGTGGCATACTCTTGTGGTTGTTATTTCCAAAAAGTAAGTCAATGGCATGATCATGGAGAAAAGATGCATGATCTGTCTATCTATCTGGTTGATTATTTCTATGGGACACTTAAGAACAACTAATTTATTGTTGGCTTTGTACCTCAAAGTAACTGTTTTTCTTTTCCTAATGGAGGGAGATCCAGAGGGCAATACATTTCAGAGATGTCAGAGACGGAAAGTCCTAAGGCTGTGCATTATAGTGATGGGCTAGATGGGAATCTTTACAGTGCAGTGTAACTGTGCCAAGCCTTGTTTGGAGCTCAGACCTGCTGCTGCGGTGTGTTGCAGCACAGTGCTGCTTTACAGCAAGGTGCTCAGGGACTGAAGAGATAAAGCTGACCAGCTCTGGCTTCCACTGTTCTCTTCCAGCTACCAGTTACTGCCAGTCCCCCGAGCGCTGTGACCCATTCCCAAGCGTGTCCTAGCATCTTCCCCAGCCCCTGGCTGAAGCTGCAGCCTGGATCTCTTACCTCTACTGAGGACTGCTTACAGCCTCTCATGTTAGCTTCCCAAGCTGCTGTGGGATTTTCAGGAAACACCTACGCATGGGAGAGGGCAGTCTGTCAGCGGTGGTGGTGTCAAACCCTGAGTTTGGAAACCTATTCCCAGCCTATTATCTTCACATTCCCTCCCTCTCCTGATTTGTTTCGTTTAGACAAGAGACTTAAGGTCATTTTGTCTTTGATTTCTCCTCAAGGTCTTGTGTTACAGGTGATGGTAGCTCTTGGCCTTGATGGCCGCCTAGATCAGTAGCTTAACAAGCTGTGTTTGCAAACATAACCTGACTTACCCCTTCCCTTACAAGTGGTCATCACTGTGTGCTTGTAAAAGCGCTGGCTGCAGCACAGGATGTAATCTGCCAGCTGAAGAGTGATGAGAAAGGTAATGCTGCTCCTCTTTGCTTTGAGGTCCTTGCCACAGTATATCACAGCTCCCTTCACCCCACGAGTAGAGCTCTGCATTCAGGTGATGCCTGTCTGATTTACAAGGAACGGCCCCTTGGGTGGATTGCAAGAGAGGATGAATTTGTTCCCATTAGCAAACTGAATGAATTGCCATGGAATGACTTACCTTTTGTGACTTTTAAGGCATTGAAATTTCAAGTGAATTCAGTGTTAGATATAGAGTGCTTTCGACTGGTGTGCACCATAGGGAATCCTTTTAAAATACAACTGTGTTCCCCTCTCCTGGAGGCTCCCAGGAGTTGATTTAATCTTAACAGCCAAGCGAAGCTGCACCAGCTGCAAAGGATGGTGCTTCTGTCCTCACACTGAATAGACACCAGCTATAAGCTGTGAAATGGTTAGTTTAGTGGGTGTGCAGCTCTGAAGGATATGCTTCAAAATGGTACCAATTATTTTACAGCCAAGAATGCTATGCATAAACAACACTTTGCACTGCCTGCTCTGTTTGTCTTAAATGTGTAATTAAACCTCACCAGTAGCTTATCCTGTAATTGCAGCTGTGACATGCTTCAGCCTCTGGTGCTCATCACAGAAGTGAAGGAACGTTTGCAGTATTGGGCAGTACAGCTACTGCACTACAGCAGTCCTTCTTCCTCTTTAAATTACAGTTAGAAAAATAAAATTCTGCTTATTTCCTCCCACTGCTTCCCCAATCCTGGCCTGTGGTAGCCAAGTGTGCAGAATGAAAGGTGAGGCCTGAGGGCACCTGTCCTCTGGGTTTTTTTTTTCATCAAAGTCCCAAGCCCCACAACCTACTCAGGGGACCAAACTGGTTTACCACAGATGCAGCCAGTGCCTGAGCAGACATGCCCGTCTCCCTGACTCCTCCTTCCAAATTTTTTGCAAATAGAGAGAGCTGAGAAATGTAGCCGAAATGCAGATGCACGAAATGCGTCTTTCAGCATCGGGAAGCTTGGACGTGTCTTGCTCCTCTGTTGGAGCATTTCTTGCCAAATTCCCTGTACTCGCAAGCTGCAGCTGGTCCAGCCATCAAGACTACGCTGGAGGCCTCCCCTGCGTGGGCTTCAGAGCTCAGGCAGCTTGTCTTCTGCAGCTGCTGAATAGATTCGGGTGTTTTACCTTCTTTGGTAAAAGCCTTGTGATTTTTCTCCTCTAAGTAGCAGGCAGTGCTGGTGCTGTAATGCTTCACCCTTCTCCATCTTTGGGGACGTAAGGAGGTGGTTTCATTCAGATGCTCTTATCTCCAGATGCTTTGAGCTTTCTGAACTGTTCAGTGCCTTCTCTTCAGCGAGAAATGTCCAAGCCACCCTAGGCAGTGCTGCTGGTAGAGGGAAAGGCATTCCCTAACCTCTCCACACCTTTAAATTCCCCTTTGGCCTGGTGTGGCCAAGGTGAAAATCTGGGAACTGAGTTAAGAGTCAGTATCCTGGCTTTCTCTTTGCTGTGAAAGCGGAAAATAGCACTCTTAATTCAAAAAATGTTCCATCTAACACCTGCAACAAGTAGTTTTGTAGCAAACTCCCAGTTAAAAATCTCCTCTTCCAAACAGATTTTCAAGTTCTATACTGGTGTGAACACCCCGCGATACTAGCTGTGGTTTGACTTGCTGATAAAAGACATCAGCAATGCTGGTGGGCTGTGTGAGGGACAATACTCTCTAGTCAGATGGATAGGTTTTAACAAGGTGACTGCGCCTGAGATATTTATGTAAATTGACCTCTCTTGGGCACACCTGTGCCTAGACATGTCACAGGTACAAGAGAATGTGTGTGAAAGAAATAAATATATATTCAGACTTGTGCTTCTTTGCCCATTACTGTATTGCGGATTTGGCTTGCATGGGACCTTTGGACAACTAGATATTGAGCCATTTCCTTCTTTTATAGAGCAACCTCAAAACTATTGGACCCCCCTACCAGAAAAGCTGTAGGACCACACTGGTTTTATGGGTTTTCCCAGTTCACCAGTGGAAGGGGCTCTCAGATTACAGGAATACTTTATAATGCTACTTGTTTTTCAGTTAGTGCCAAGCTGCAGCCACGCATTGCTTTTCCATTGAGAAGAATGGATTTCAGATAGTCTGTAGGCTGAAATAATAACAATAGTAACAACAAAAGTAGTTAGTTGTATCTTGACTCTAACATCCCTCATTTATCCCTGGATTTATCTCACAGATAGCATGTTTGCAGAGACCATGACCACTGCCCGTCTCAGCTCTGCACGACTCAGCACTTGCCTTCCCCAGAGCAACCATGATTCAGCCAACTTCAATAACAATGAACTGGAGAATAACCAAGTGGTGGCCAAAATTGCTAACCTAAATTTGAGTCGGGTACCAGGACTTCCGACAGACAACCACATCATCCCCTGTTGCCCAAACAGACGGCAGCGTGCCCAGGGGGTTCCGGCCTTCCTGGATACAGATCTGCGATTCCACCCCACCCGCGGACCTGACGTTACCTTTTCTCAGGACCGGATGGTTGCATGCACCAATTGGCAAGAAAGCAATAGGACTTTGATGTTTTCTGACCGGCCTTTGCACGTTGGTGAAAGCCTCTTTGTGGAAGTAGGACATCTTGGGTTGCCATATTATGGGGCCCTTTCATTTGGCATCACTTCTTGTGATCCAAGTACTTTACGGACAAATGAACTCCCAGCAGATCCAGACTTTCTTTTGGACCGCAAGGAGTACTGGGTGGTTTACCGAGCTTTCCCTGTCCTCAACAGTGGCGACATTCTCAGTTTCATGGTCTTGCCGAATGGAGAGGTGCACCACGGGGTGAATGGAGCCAGCCGAGGAATGCTAATGTGTGTGGACACCTCACAGTCTCTCTGGGTGTTTTTTACGATCCATGGTGTAATCAACCAGCTCAAAATATTGGGTAAGTAAGTGCAGCCAAAAGAAATAGTAAGGGGGAACTTCCACCTGGCTAGTGAAGTTTCTTGGGCCAGAAAGCAAGCTGCAGGCTTGCCTTAGCAGTGTTGGCTTTAGCAGAGCTGCTAGCATGAGTGAAGTGATGCAGCTTCTGATCTGACCTTGCTTTCCCAAACAAGAACAAGTGAGATGTGGTAGCTGTAACGCAGATGTATGCAGCATATATAAGTCTGCCAGAAACGGATGAGACTTGAAATGTGAAATAAGCGACAGGGAAGGAGGCGGCGATGGTTGTGTGTGTCGCTGGTTAGTTTTTAGGGAAGTTGTGTATAAAAGAGATTCTTTGTAAGCCTGCTGTGCCAGCCAGTAGGTATGAAACGCCTGAGTCAGCAGCAGCGATGATTTCTGTTAGAGAAGTTGTGGTTTAAGTATGTGTGTTGTGTGTACTTACGGATAGTAAGCACTCCTCAAGCACTGCAGCAGCACTGGTATCAAATATCACATTTTAATTATTGCTAGTGACCCATTACAGCGCTTTTCCTTTTCTCTCTTTAAGGACACTGTCAGCACATCAGATCTTGATGGCTTTGTAAAACAGATTTTTCTCATTTAAAGCAAGATGCTTTCCCAGCTGCCTCAGCACTGACAAGGAGACAGTGATAACTTGAGGCTGCTGTTGGAGAAAGCAGGACTACAGGGGAGTGACCTAATACCACAAAATCATGGGTGTTAGATAACCTGTTCTTCACCTTATTGAAGTACTGGACAGAAATTATATGATGGCATAGCAAGGTCCAGTACTTGATGGCCCGGGAGGTCACATGTAAAATTATGCACCTATGACACTTAACGCAGCAGCAGCTGTACTTTATTGTTAAAGCACATTGCCACACAGTGTGGAAGTGAGTCACCAGGCTGAGGAACATGTAGCTCAAGGTTTTGGGATCTCCATGCGAGATGTATGTTCGCCCTGCAGCTGGCTGAACCTCTGCTGTGTTTGCAGGCACTGTGCAGTCCAGCCCAGTGACCGTCTCTCCCTCAGGATCCCCCGGCGGCTCACAGTATGACAGCGACTCAGATATGGCCTTCAGTGTGAACAGGTCATCGTCTGCTTCAGAGTCATCGCTCGGTAAGGGAGAGCTCAGCCCTGAGCTCTGGGCTGGGAGATATGCTGCTGTCTGTGCAGCGTATTGAACTGCAGCTTGCCCCCTGCGAGGGCAGGAGTTCAGGTTGTCCCAGACTGCACTACACTGAGACATGAACGCACGCTGATAGCATATGCCAGGACTATATAAAATCGCAGGGCGAGGTTGGTGGGGAGATGTTACCTCTCCTCTGAGACCGACAGAAATAACTGGAAGGAAAAACAAATAGGTGAGAAGCTTTTCACAGCCTGAAGAAGGGCTGTGTGTTACTTCTCACTGCATCAGTTAGTCGAGAAGACATTACTGGTCTCTGCAAAGCTTGCCTGGCAGCGGCCACGGTGCTAGCACAGCAGAGGTGCGCCGTGTCGCATGTCTGCGGGTTAATGGGACTGCGAGAGACGGGAACTCCCAGGCTCCTGTCCCAGATCCCCAGCTACATGCTCCCAAGCCTTGCACAAACCAGACCGGCCTGTCTTGGTGCTGCCAGTTGTCCGCTCCCGGACGGCTGCCCAAGGAAATGTTCATGTGCTATTGTTTGGCTCTCAGGCAGAGGTGCACGAATTCGCTGCCTGATACTGTCGCTGGTACGTGCCATTGCTGGGCGTGCTGCAGCAGCACGGTACAGACTGCTGGGCACCGAGGCACCCTGCTCGGAGCACAGCTCCGTCTGGGAGCTCACCGGCACCCTGAAACGGGTGTGCAAATAGCATTGCTGATTGGGGAAGCCCAGGCAAGCGGCACTTGGCCCCTCTCTGTATAAAACAGATGTCGAGCTCTGGCTGGAACGATACTTGTGCTACCAATTAGATAGGTAAAATAAGCTGGGATTTTATTTGGCCAAATAAACCAGGCAACGACTAAGGGAGAAAGTGCCTTAAAAAATATACTTGCAAGGAGGTGCATGTTGTACGTTATCAGTCAGGCTTGCGCCATCCTGGGGACTGAACGGTCTTGTTTCTTCTTCCTCCTTTGCAGTGACTGCTCCCAGCTCCCCGCTGAGTCCTCCCATCTCTCCTGTCTTCCCTCCTCCGGAGCCATCAAGCAGCAAGAACGGGGAGTGCACCGTCTGCTTTGACAGCGAGGTGGACACAGTGATCTACACCTGCGGACACATGTGCCTCTGCAACACCTGTGGTCTTAAGCTGAAGAAACAACTCAATGCCTGCTGCCCAATCTGCCGACGGGTCATCAAAGATGTTATTAAAATATACCGTCCTTAGTGCCCGGCTTGGGCTGTAGGAGGGGAGAACTCCGCTAGCAGTAACCATGCCTTTCCGTCCCTGCTTATGGGTTATCGTGCTGGTCAGTTGTTATCAAGTGGCTCGTTATCTGTGTTTCCTTATTTGACTGGTAGGGCACAATTCAGGGATAAAATTGAGCTGAGGATCTAATGGGGCCCAAGGCCTAGGCTGCCATACAAGCCAGGCTTTGAAAAGTCGCGTGCCCGCAGATGAAGTCAGTGAATCACTTTATGGACGCAGCCCAGCTGCAAATGAGAAATTTCCTGTGCAAAGGCTCCTTTTTTCCCCTGAGGAGAAGGCTAGCTGTGGTGCAGACCAGGACGGGGAGGTTGCCTTTACTTCAGTGCCAGGTGCCACCGGAGTTCCCAGCCCCCAAACCCAAACACCTCTGAGGTGCCGCTGCCTGCCTGCAGTAGCGCCTGGCGCCCTGTTGTGATAGAACAAAATCTCGTCTTTGGACAAGACACAGTTGGAAGTGTTCAGAGTGGGCAGAAGTGATCTGGAAATGTTACATTCATCTTCTTGTTTGTAACTGGGGAACAAGTTCAGGCCAAAACAGTAGCACAGCAAGATTTGCGCTTGTTTGGGTTTTGGCCTCCTGAACCGGCTGTTGGGGCACATGGAGAAGCTGGTTTGAACTTAGATGAAGCAGCTTTTGGGGTTTTTTTTGGCAGAGAAGGAATTTTTTGGACAGGGAGGCTGAGCGAGACCTAGGGAGCAGCCACTGGGGCTAGAAGCTATGAACATGAGCCCTTTTACAACCCCCAGACAATCAGAATAGCTGTAGCAACAATGACTGAGTAGCGGTCAGTAGTGATGGGTTGTTTAACGCATCTCCGGTATGGCTGGCTAGTTTACATAGCCGTAAATTGCAGCCTGTTCCACATGCCTGTGGATTAAACTTGCTTTTGGACAACTATGCTATGATCTTGGCTTAGGGCAGGGACAGACAGGGCATCTTGGAGGAAGCAGGCAGCACATCTGGCCAGCAGCTGAGAAAGAGGAAAAGCGATGGCCTACCATCATCTAAAATGATAGTTGTTAAGGGAGTGTTTGTCACAGTCACACACGTGCGCTTGCACTTTGCTCTGCTCCTCTTAGGACTTGGTGTAGTTGCCATCTTGCACAGTCCTGCCTGACTCACTTTTCTCTTAACCCTTCTGCTGTAACCAGTGCCACGGCAGGGCACAGCCTTCCTCCTTCGCCATCCAAGTCACCTGAGGACTTTTTGGAGCTTGTGGTGAGAAATCCATTTCTGACCGAGTTCAAGCTGGTTCACCTTTTCTTTCTTGGGACTGCGTGTGTGCTGATTTTACCTGCTGTCTTTCTCCTGCCTCTCCAGGTTTTGTCAGCAAAGCTGTCATCTGCCTGGATGCTCTGGTTCCCAGGGGAAGGCCTTAGGAGTAGACAAGAACTTGTTGAAATGAACAGGGCTCTCACTTGGCTCTACTTGGGAGGAGGAAAGAAAAAGGCTCTGAGGCTATTATTAGATGTTGGGACTTAAAAGGTAAATAGATTTCAGCTGAGATATTGGACAGCTACAAATGGCAGCAACCTACACGATCTGGGAAGCTTATGAGCAGGCTGCAGCAGGGCTGGGTGTGGGGAACAACGTCCTCCTCCCTGCTGCTCCCATGGGAACTTACTGCTGTCCTCTGCCCACTTGCAACGAGGACTCTCCGCTCCTTTGACTCATGCACCCACGGAGCCTGGCTGGGTTTCCAGCTGGGAGAGTCCAGGTTGGTAAGGAAGGGAAGACGGAGAACGCAAGAGGGGCTGGAGTGATTTGAACTCCGTGACTGTGTGTGCCACCAAAAGCATATGAACTGCTTTCTTCGGAAAGGTGCAATTATCACATCTTGGTCTAAAAATGAAAAAAAAAAAAAAAGAAAAACAGAAAACAACTCATGCATGTCACAGGGCTTCTGGGCCCAGAGGCGCAGCCCGAGTTTTTGTCTGTCACTTCTCTACGCCAGCCCCTTTTTTACCTGCTTCGCTCCAGCCTTTCTTCTCCTAGGTGTTGGTAGCTCTGGGGGTGTTGCCACCTATCCGTGTCCTGATTGCCTGGGTGGTGGTTTGGATGTGCTGTTGACAGTGGTGTAATCAGTTACATAACTGTAATCAATCCCTATCCCAGATCGTTTCTTACATCATGGAAAGCACGCCCAGGGGATCAGATAATCCTCTTCCCCCATCAGGCCGTTTCTGCTCTGCAGTCTGTTCTAACATGCCGTCGTCCAGGGCGCGCACACACACACACAAAACCCCTTCCCTTCCCGAAGAGCTAATTAATATTTTCATTAAGCATATAAATGAGAGGCCACTTTGGAATGAGCTCTGCTCTCGCACACTGCCTTGCAGCATCGGCGCGAGAGCACGCCAGCTTGGCGAAGCAGAGCCCTTTCGGGAAACTCAGCGACATGACGCGGCTGGCGGTGTCCCACCTGAGCACGCTCAGCGCTCAGCGGGGCCCTTCAAGCAGGGAGCAGCTGCGAGAGCGTCGCAAGGCTCGGTGCAGCGGCAGCGCGG